GAAAAAAGGAGTAAAAAAGTTTACAGCAGAAGTATATGATATAGAAACTTAAAACACAATGGAACACAGCAATAAAACAAGGAGTTGGTTCTTTGAAATATTCAAGAAAATTGACAAACATCTAGTAAGACTCAAGAAAAAAAAGAAAAAGGATTCAAATAAAATCACAAATTAGAGAGAAGAAATAATAAGCAACATCACAAAAATACAATTATAAGAGAATATTACAAAAAACTATGCTAACAAACCGGACAACCTAGAAGAAACAGCTAAATTCCTAGAAACATATAAACTATAAAACTGAAGCAAGAAGAAATGGAAAATTAGAACAGATGATTACCAGCAAAGATATTGAGTCAGTAATCAAAAAAACTCCCAAGAAACAAAAGTCCAAGATCAGACAGCTTCCCAGGAAAATTCTACTAATTAATGAAGAGCTAATATTTATTCTTCTCAAACTATTCCAAGAGATAGAAAAGGGAGAAAAACTTCCAAATCCATTCTATGAGGCCAGCAAAACCAGATAAAGACACCACTAAAAGAGAACCACATGCCAATATCTCTGCTGAACATCATTAGAAAAATCGTCAACAAAATACCAGCAAACTGAATCCAAGAATACATTAGAAAGATTATTCACCACAATCGAGTTGGATTATTCCTGGGTTGCAAGGGTGGTTGAATATTTGCAAATCAATGTGATATATCACATCAATCAGAGAAAGGTAAGAAAAAGCATTTGACAAAGAACAACATCCATTCATAAAAACCCTCAACGAAGTAGGTGTAGAGGGAACACAGCTCAACATAATAAAAGCCACATATGAAAAACCCACAGCGAACATCATCCTCAATGGGGAAGAGTTCTCAGTTCCTAAGGTGAGGAACAAGACAAGGATGTCCACTCTCACCACTCTTACTCAACATAGTACTAGCAATCAGACAAACACAGCAATCAGACAAGAAGGAATAAAAGGCATCCAAAGTGTTAAGGAAAAAGTAAAACTTTCACTTCTTGCAGATGATATGACACCATATATAGAAAATCCAAAAGACTCCACCAAAATACTGCCAGACTGATAAATGAATTAAGTGAAGTCACAGGATACGAAAATCAATGTATGGAAATCTTGCATTTCTGTACACCAATACTCAAGCAGCAGCAAGAGAAATTAAGAAAACAATCTCATTTACATTTGCACCAAAATAATAAGATATCTATCTAGGAATAAATCTAACCAAAGAGGTAAAAGACCTGTATTCTGAAAACTATAAAACACTGATGAAAGAAATTGAAGATGACACAAGAAATGCAAAGACATTCCATACTCATGGACTAGAAGAACAAATATTTTTAAAATGTCTAAAATACCCAATGCAATTCACACAGTTAATGCAATCACTCTCAAAATACCAACAGCATTTTTCACAGAAGCAGAACAATCAATCATAAAATTTGTATAGAACCACAAAAGACCCCCAGACCCACCTGAATAGCCAAAGCAATCTTAAAAAGAAAAGCAAAGCCGGAGATATCACAATTCTGGACTGCAAGATATATTACAAAACTGTACTAATCAAAACAGTATTGTACTGGTACAGGAACAGATACATAGATCAATGGACCAGAATAGAAAGCCCAGAAATAAACCCGTAACTACATGGTCAATTGATCTTCAACAAAGTAGGAAAGAATATAGAATGGGAATAAGACATTCTCTTCAACAAATGGTGTTGGGAAAACTGGACAGCTGCGTGCAAAGAATGAACCTGGACCACATTCCTTTACCACAAACAAAAATAAATTAAAAATGGATTAAAGACCTAAATGTGAGACGTGAAACCATAAAAATCCTAGAAGAGAACACAGGCAGTAACTTTGACACCAGCCGATGCAACTTCTTTCTAGGCATGTCTCCTGAGGCAAGGGAAACAAGCAAAAGTAAACTACTGGGACTACATCTAAATAAAAAGCTTCTGTACAGCGAAGGAAACAATCAACAAAACCAGAAGGCAGTCCACTGAAAGGGAGAATGTCATTTGCAAATGACATGTCCTATGAAGGGTTCGTGTCCAAAATATATAAAGAACTTTTACAACTCGACACCCACCCATTTGAAAAATGGGCAGAAGATGTGAATGGACAGTTCTCCAACGAAGACATACGGATGGCCAAAAGACACATGAAAAGATCCTCAGCATCACTTATCATCAGGGAAACGCAAATCAAAACTATGATGAGTTATCACCTCACACCTGTCAAAATGGCTAAAATCAACAACACAAGAAACAACAGGTGTTGGAGAGGATGTGGAGAAAAAGGAACCCTCTTGCACTGTTGGTGGGGATGGAACCTAGTGCAGCCAATCTGGAAAACAGAATGGAGATTCCTCAAAAAGTTAGACATACAACTACCCTACAATCCAGTAATTTTTACTGCTGGATACTTACCCCCAAAACACAAAAACACTAAGTCAAAGAGATACATGCACCCCTATGTTTATAGCAGCATTATTTGCAATAGCCAAGATATGGAAGCAGCCCAAGTGGCCTTGATTGATGAATAAAGAGGAGTGGTATAAATACACAAAAGGCTTATTGAGCCATGAAAAAAGAATGAAATCTTGCCATTTGCAAGGACATATGGATGGAGCGAGAGAGAGTATAATGCTAACTGAAATACATCAGTTAAATACTGTAGGATTTCACTCCTATGTGGGATTTAAGAAACAAATGAGCAAAGGGGAAAAAAAAGAGAGAGGCAAACCAAGAAACAGTCTCTTAATCATGGAGAACAAACATAGTTACCAAAGCGGAGGAAGGTGGAGGGATGGGTTAAATGGGCAATGGGGACTGAAAAGTGTACCTGTCCAGATGAGCACGGGGCGATGGTATACAAGTGCTGACTCAGTATACTGTGCTCCTGAAATAAGTACTACACTGTATTTTACCTAACTGGAATTAAAACAAAAACTTAAAACCACATATAAGAAAAAAAGTTTCATATGAGAAAGAGAATACATTGGTCTAATTAGAAAATGGACAGAAATAGACTTTACTAAATAGATGCAAATTCTAATAGTGCATTAAGTATGTCCTGTTAGATCAGAAAACTTTAAGGTAATTCATTCTTCTAATTAAAAGCATCCCAGAGTATTATGCTGAGTGAAGTAAGTCAATCAGAGAAGGACATTATATGGTCTCATTCATTTGGGGAATATAAAAAATAGTGAAAAGGAATAAAGGGGAAAGGAGAAAAAATGAGTGGGAAATATCAGAAAGGGAGACAGAACATGAGAGACTCCTAACTCTGGGAGATGAACAAGGGGAGGTGGGCGGGGGGTGGCGGTGACTGGGTGATGGGCACTGAGGGGGGCACTTGAGATGAGCACTGGGTGTTATGCTGTATGTTGGCAAATTGGAACACCAATAAAAAATAAATCTATAAAAAAAATTTAAAGAAAGAAAGCATCCCAGAAAACTGATGTTAAAGGAATTTTACACTCCTCATGTATAACTGCTCAGGAGCTACAAACTAAAGGAATTTGTACTTGTTTTGTTTTTTAAAAGTCCAATGAATCGGTTTACACTTTCCATTTCCAATGAAATCATTAATCGCTACACTATGAAAACTTCTGGAAGTCATTTTAAGATTTATAAAGCCAGGAAAAAAAGTTCAGTCATGAAAAAATTATCAATGAAATCATTCTAAAATCACAACTGAAGACACTCAGAACACTAGGAACTAAGACAAGACAAAGTTTTAAGGCCAAGTAAACCAGACTTGATAATACTCTGATCTTGCAATGAATGGTGCGGATTTCCACTTTGAAAAACCCATTTCTAAATACTACATGATAACGAAACTTGGCTCTATTTTACCTAAGTATCCGTCTAAATGATCACAAATAGAATTCTAAGCGACTGGGAAGAAAAACGGCAACTCAAGGAACACGGGATTCTCCGAAACACTTCCTCCGAGTATGTAAGGAACGAAACCAAAAGGAAAAAAAAAAAAAAATCACAACAAGAACCAAAGGTGTGAGAGCATTATGCGTTCCTTCCCACTCCAAATCACCGTGTCGTTGGGTAAACACCAAATTTCATTTTGTGCAAGGATAGGGTGTCTGGTCTGACATTTCATCTTTTGAGTGTGTGGGCCAACAAAGCTTAGCAAAGTGTAGTTCAGTCTACTGCACGTACTCTGGAAACTAGGGGAAAGGACATTTGCCAGATTTTCCTCTTAATCACGCTTTCCTTGACTCGTTGGTGTTGAGTTTCAAACAAAAACGGATGGGGGCGGCAATACAGTCAAGTGTCGGAGAGGCGTGAGCCGGCTGCCCCACAGCTCCGTGGAGTTCTCCAAGGTGAAGGTTGCAATTCATCCAACTCGTATTTCGATCCCGTAGCGGCCCCGACGGGGACGAGGGCAGCCGGCCGGCCTCTGCCACAGGGGATGCGGAGTCCGCGTGATCACCGGGAGCCGGGGAGCTGCAAACGCAGCCGGCGCGGCGCGGCGCGGCGGGTCGGGGGAGCGGGCGCGGGCGCCCAGGGCGGGCAGGGCGGGCAGGGCAGCGTCCTCCTCCCCGCCGCCGCCGCCGCCGCCGCCGCCGCCGCCGCCGCAGCGGGCCCGGGGCGCAACGGGTCCCCGGCCGCCGCCTCCTCGGGGAGCGCGTACCTGCCCAGCGACGGGCGGGGGGCGGGGGGGCGGGGGGGGCCGCTCCTCGGCGGCCGGGCCAGCCCCGGGGCCGTTACCTAAGCGACCCGCTCCGCCCGCAGCCGCGGCCCAGGCCGGCCCGAGGCCAGGAGGCCGCGCTGCCCGGCGAGGCGTGCGCTCGGCCCCGCGCCCCGCGGCCCCGCCTCCCGCCGTCCATCCTCCATCCTCCCCACTGCGGCGCCAGCCTCACCTGCCCCGCGCCCCGCGCGCCCCGCGCCCGACCCGACCCGACGCGGCCCCCGCCCCCGCCCCCGCCCCGCGCGCCCCCGCCCCGCGCCTCTACCTTGTAGGAGTCGGTGGCCAGGAGGATGTTGAACTCGGCGTCCGCCGCAGCGTTCATCTCGGGCGGGACTGCGCGGGCCACGCGCCGCGAGCTGCCCGGCGCGGCGGCGACGAAGGGGAAAAATGGGCTTCGCCGCGCTCCGTTGCTTAAGTCACCGCTCGGCCGGGGGGGCGGGGGCAGGGGAGGCGGCAGCGCGGCGGGGAGGAGGGGCCGCGGGAGGGCGGGCCGCGAGCCGTGACGCGGCGGGGGGCTGGCGGCGCCCGCGGCTCTCGCGCTCCAGCGCCGGGGACTCCGGCCGACCGCTCGCCTCGGCTCCCCGCCCCCCGCGCCGTCGCCGTCACCGTCGCCTTCGCCGTCGCCGTCGCCGCGGAGGGGACGCGGGGGGCGGGGCGGGGCGGGGCGGGGCCGCGCGTGCGCAGCGCGCGGGGGGCGGGGCGGGGCGGCCGTGGGGCACGCGCGCTGGCTGCGGGAAGCCGGGGGCTGCGGCCGTCCCGGGCGAGGGGCCCGCGGGCCGGGCGTCGGCCTCGCTTCCCGGCACGGCGGGGAGGGGGGGGGTTCCCGGCCCGGCCCCGCCCCGGCTGCCCCCTTCCCGGCCGACCCTGGCTCGCTTTCCCGCCCCCCCGCCCGGGTCAGGCCACGCGGCTCGGGCCGAGGAGCGTCCCTGCCAGGGGCTCCGCATCCCCGTGGCGCGGCGGCTCACCTTTGTCTGCGGCCGCGCTGGGGTCGGCCCGCCCGCCCCCGCCCCGCCCCCGTCCCGCCCCGCCGGCCTCCCCGGGTCCGCGCGCCTCGGCCCGCTCCGCTTCCCCGCACCTGTGCGCTCGGGCTCCCGGCCGGGCCCGGGGACGCTGCGGCTCTCGCGGGGGAAGCGGCCCGCGCGCGGGCGGGGGTTGACCTCGGGCCGCACGGGTCACGCCAGCCCCGGGCCCCCCCGAATGCAGGAGCGGCGCGAGGGCAGCGGCCGCGGGCCAAGGCCTGACGCGGTGCAGAAGCCATCGCGTCATTCTCCGCGATCGTTACATGTTGGGAAACGGTTCGGTGACTTCCACCGTAAGACGGGAAGCGACGTCGGATGACTTCACAGAAGTGCGGACCATCCACTTGCGTAATTCTCCTACGTGGTTGCATCTTTTTGCGTAAAGACTAAATTTCCTTTGTCCACGTGGTCAGTGGCTGCTGTTGCCTGCTGCTTTTTTTTTTTTTTTTTTTTAAATTCTAGGATTCAGGTTTTACGGGATACAAGTAGCCAGGAAAAAGCAGTTCAATGAAAACGGGTTCAGGAACTTTGCAGACTGTTTTTCAAGTCAGCGGAGATCTCTCCTTTTATCTGTGGGGTGGGTTGAGACGGGAAGGGGGACGCTGTGAATGGAGAGATTCATCACAACAAAACGGGAGACCTCATTAATTGAAAGCAATTTAGGTCCAAAACTGGTCTTGGAGTTAAGTATAGATTCTGGACAGTCGCCTCCTATCTGTAGAGTCCATACAGCAAAGGTCACCGGAGTGTGATTAATAATGAGCCCAGGTAGTAAATAATACGTTTAGGGTAATAGAATAAGGGTATTTTCAACAAAAATGTTGAAAAGAAACTTTTTTTGTTCGTTTGATCCTTGTGTTCACAAGGGGAAATTATTTTTTAAGACCTTTAAGTTATTTAGATTTTTTTTTTTTTATTTTGGCAGATTTTATTAAGTCAAGCAGTGCGACCCCAAGAAAGAAGATGATCCTTTAGGAGTCTCTTGATTTGGTACTTCTTCCTTCATTTAAGATTTTTCATGACCTACCTTACTTAAATGACAAATTCTTTTGGCTTAGCTTCCTGGAATCCTTGTGTGTATAACTGACCATTGTTCCTCGCTGCCTTATGCAGAGAAAAAAAAAAATTGGGTTCTGATTACAAAATGGGCTTTGTTTATGGAGGCATTTATTTTTACTTTAATTTTAATTTTTATTATTTTGGCTTTTTTTTTGTGAAGCAAAGTAAAACTTGATCTTGCAGTCTTTGAGTTAAATTTGCATTTTTAAGGTGAAAAAGTTTAATATCTGTACGAGCAAAAATGTTAATATGGCATTCACATTGTTAGGCGTAAGAGTCACAAGGCCTGCATACATAATAGTGACTTAAACCCTCACAGCAGTCTCCAGAAGAAAAGCAGTATGTTAGCAATAGAAAGTCGTTTGCGGGGGATCCCTGGGTGGCTCGCTGGTTTGGCACCTGTCTTCCGCCCAGGGCAGGCTCTTGGAGTCCCGGGATCGAGTCCCGCATCGGGCTCCCTGCGTGGAGCCTGCTTCTCCCTCTGCCTGTGTCTCTGCCTCTCTGTCTCTCTGTGTCTCTCATGAATAAATAAATTAAAAAGAAAGAAAGTCATTTGCCTGGGTAGCCCAGGTGGCTCAGTGGTTTAGTGCCGCTTTCAGCTCAGGGCCTGATCCTGGAGACCCGGGATCGAGTCCCACGTCAGGTTCCCTGCATGGAGCCTGCGTCTCCCTCTGCCTGTGTTTCTGCCTCTCTCTTTCTCTCTCCCTGTGTCCGTCTCTCTCATGAATAAATAAACAAAATCTTTTAAAAAAAAATCATTTGCCTAAAAATCAGGCATACTCTGTATGGGTACCTACATGCTTAATACGGGACCAATTTTGAATTGATTAGGCTTTAGAACTATAAAATTATCACCAAATACCAAGTTAAGATTTCATTTTGAAATAGCCTCTCTTGAAAAACAGTTTAACAGCTAGCGTTTAGTATGTTTATCTAGTAGCATGTAAAAGTTTCTGAGAAACTGTTTCTCGTGGTTATCACACATGACAAATAATGTCAATACAAAGACTCAATTGGGTCCCCTCACTTTATTCAAAGACCTGGATTAATCTACCATTCCTACCAAACAGCCAGTCAAGCAGGGTGAATTGGACATCTAGCTCCTTATTAAAGTCCCTCAGAGTGTTACGAAAGCTTGTCACTTGTTTATTTGATCAGGAAAAGTGGGTGTTACTGCACCACTTTCCACACAGACTTCCCGACAGACTTTGGTACACTTAGGTATTTCAAAGTTGCCTCAGATATTCCAGTCTGACCTGATTTCATTTCAGTAAGGAACACTGTTAAAAAAATTTTTTTTTGACAAAAAAAATGGGAAAACCCCTAGAGAAGCAAATGTGGAATTCACCCATCTGCAATTCCTGACAATGGTCCTGCCCATCACCTTTATAACTTCCTCTAGTTTTACCTAGCATCAACAACTGTCACAAAGACAACTGTAAAGGAACTTTTTAATTAGGCTTAGACCTTTTTAAATTCAAACTTCCTTAGCACTTGGGGACCTCTCAGAGTTGTAATTCCTTGGGAATTACTCATCTAGAGAAAGACCTGGGTCTTCATAGATCTGATTGTCAGCACTGCCCACCCTTGAAGTACTCTTTTTTTTTTTTTTTTTTTTTTTAAGCACTCTTTAATGACTCAGTCTGCTGGGTCCTCTGCAACCACACACAAACACACAGAAAACTGCTGAGTCTTCTGGAAGAGAAGCAGAAGTGATAGCGTAAGTGTTACCCACAAATAGGAAGGATTAGCACACGTACTTGGATTGTTGACAGTCATTGCATTGCATATGTCCTTGTGGTCTGACTGCTACACCCATCGTATACCTGGACAATGCTGAGCTCATCATCCGTCTGATGTTAAACCCTCTTCAAATCGTATATCCTGCAGGAAATCTTCCCAATTTTCCCATCGTTATTAGTTGTGTTGTTTCCTATTGTACCCAAACATAAATTTTTCTAATTCCAACCATATAAGGTGGAAACTAATGGTGGAGAGAAAAAAGAGGAAGATTTGAGTTCGCTTTTAAAAGTAAGGCAAATGTGCACGTTAAGATGCTGTGTGTGAGGATTTGAGTATCGTAATTATTTATGCATTTTCTCGATGGTGACCTTAAGACTCCATGGCCAAAGCCAATGACTGAGAGAATGAGACCGCTAGAGCTGTAAAAACTGTCAGGGTTTTTTTAATGCAGTGTTTTTTGTTTTTTTTTTAGTGTGGCTTGCTTATCACTGATGGTATATGAGATGGGTGTCAGTGGTACTCAGATAAGCATTTCTCATTTCGATAATGACATATTTATTTCTAATGGATTTTAGAGAAATATACCTAACATATAAGACTCGATTTTTCTTGGGAATTGATACTGAGGATGAAACCCAAGTAGATGGACATTCAGACTGGTGAAACTTACTATTTTCCTGGCCTTTCCTAACTTATAACTGAGGATTTTCATATCCTCGATAAAAGACTGGTTTTCTTGAAGAAAGCTAACCATGAAAGGCTACGTATCACATAATTTTATTTGTATGAAATTCTAGAAAGACAAAACAACAGTGAAAGCAGATCAGTGATTGTCAGAGGTTGGTGTTAAGGGAGGCAGATTGACTGTAAAAAGGCAGATTTGAGGAAACGTTTTTGGGGGATGGAAATGATAAATGGGGTAGTGATTATACAATTATATACATTTGTCAAAATTCATTAAATTCTATACTTAAAATTGGTGAATTTTATCGTATATAAATTGTATCTCAAACTGAATTTTAAAAAAGGCTGATTTTCTTGAAACCATTTTAAACATTTTCCTGTTCTGTTTTCTTAGGTTTCTATTTACATGTTTTATTGTTTCCATCTTCCTTTACATGATTTGGAGATGAGCACCTTTTTACCCACCTCAGAGAGAGAGGATAGTATTGAAGCTGATGATCACGTATAGAACCCAGATATCAAAAGTGAATTTCCTGCCATTGAGTAGGAAGCAGGAAAAGGAATTAATCCCAATGTGATTCGATTCAGTAGGAATGTATAAACACATCTGAAGCAGCATTGGTGGACTTCAACAAGAAATGTCCCATTTATCCTCGGTTCTTTTCCAAAGCAGCCATGAAATCCCTGGGATCTGGTGTGAAGGGAGACAAAAACAATTTGGTAGTTACTTCTTTATCCCAACAAATTCAGCATGGGATGCTGAGATATATATAGAGTTGCCTGTGGACATAACCCTTAACTCTAGGAACTACTGCAGAGCAAGACCTGAAAAAAGGCCTACCAGCGCCACCCACGTCCATGTCCTGCGGTGTTTCTGTACCAAGAAAGGCTCTACCTGTGAAACCTTCAGTTGCAGGCTTGCATTCTGGGTCAATACACCTGCCTTTCTGGTTCACTCACTGTCCGCCTGAACCTAGCTCTCAAGACCCAGCACCTGCCCAGATGACTTTCCTTTACTGCTTATTGATACCTCGCCTAGACCCCATTTCTTCATATTATCCACATCATCCCTGTCTCCATCATCTCCCCCCTGGTCTG